TTTGCTTCTTAAATCAAATAGAATCTTAAAATAAATATTGCTATGTACCTCATGTTCCTTTGTGGATAGACTTTGAAGCCAAAACAGTTAATATAAATACATAAATGTAGGCTATAAGAATATCTATATTGTCATGCTGAATGAATTTGCAGTATCGCTTATCGTATAAATTCTGGCTTTTGAAACCCTGTTCTCCTTACCGATCTTCGCTTGTTCGTGCAGAAAATACTGCTCGAGTAGATGAATCATGAAGAGTAAACCAAAACAAGCTATTGCTCATGAAGTTCATTGAAAATTCTTAGAAATAATTGCTTCGAAACCATCGTTATCTTCTTGCCTTGAAATCCATGTTTACGAAATTGATAAATTATTATTTCTGGTTCGGCTGTTTTGAATTACAGCAGTCAACAAAATAGAGCATGCGTAGACATAAACCTCTGCCACGTGATCCCCTAACTCCGCCCTCCATAATCACTTGACAACATAGTGACATGGATTGGCATCTGGTACATGATAATTAGCCTTTTCATAGTTTAAGAATCGATTCCACTGCGCATGCGATTTTATCCCGAATTTCTCACCTTCTTTTGTTTAATTAAGAACAAAAGAAGAATTAGTCAAAAGAAGGTGAGAAATTCGGGATAAAATCGCATGCGCGGTGGAATCGATTCTTAAACTATGAAAAGGCTTATTGATTGGACTGTAGACGGGAACCCTAGAGCAGATACCCGCAAAGGTCTCTTGGGTAAGTTCCTGAAGACCCCTGGATACTATTGCGCAACTTTGCCATTTTGTCGTGGAGAAGACAGAAAAAAAACAAAGGCATTTTCTGACTGTGATACCGCAGGTATCCCAGTAATTATTATTCTCGTTAGGAAGCAAGGAAGCAAGAAAGGATGAAATAGATAACTACTTACATATTCTCTTTATTACCCAATATAAGTGCTTTTTTTACAACAAAAAAGAAATAAAATTGAATAATTTACAATGAATTGACAGGTTATTGACAGTTAGTCATCGAATATTAAATTCTCAGTCGAGTTGGTTTTGGACGTGAAAGGCTTTTGCTTCTCTGGGACTCAAATCTTGTGTTGAATCTGCAAAGAAAACCTTAGATATTACTAGTAATTGAATCTAAAACTCTCTCGAACACTCTGAAATTTCAATTCCATCTGTAAGTAAGCTGGGCCATAAATTGAGCAACCCAGAGGTTGTTTCAGGGTTCAATCTGTGAGTTAGCCATGCCCTGACGTAGATCAGCCCAGAGGTTGCTTCAGTGTTGGATCTGCTAGTTACCGTTGACCTGATTTAGATCAGCTCAGAAAATGTTTCAGGGTTCGATAAAACCTGTTCTCACAAGGATCCCATAAATACCTTTTAGCTTTATGCTTCTTCTTCGTCTCCAGCCAGGTTGTGAGGTGTTTTTCTCTTTTATTAATTCCTGGATTTTATTTTCCCGTATTTTCTCGAATTCCTCACGAGCCTCTTCGTAACTCTTGGTGGTTGAGTGGGTCACGTGACATATTGTTAATATCAGTATGGAAAAGAGAAGGACTGTTTGAACATACGCCATCTGTGTAGAATAATAAGATGCATACAGTCAAAAGGCAAGGATGGACGGATGGATGGATGGATGGATGGATGGGATGGATGGATGGATGGATG